AACTTCTCCCTACGACCCTCTCCTCAATGGCCGTCCACTCCACGCCAGGAGAAGCCTACCTTGTTTCTGGACGTGATTGCCATGGTCTGAGTGAGTGGGCATCTGCTGGATTTAAAGCCTAAGGCTTGAGACTTTTGAACTTAGCACACAGAGGGAATGTCTGTCATTAGTCTGTCATGACTAAGTGTGTTTGCAGTGCTTAGCATTAATCTAGAGTGGTTTTCTGTGAGTTAATTATGTCTATTGCAGTGTCTAGCATTAAGAATTGTCATTTTCTTGATTAAGAACCTATAGAGTGAAATCGTGTTGAGTGATTTGAGTGAATAAAGCATTGAAAAAAGGCAGAAGCACGTAGACATTCTTTATTTCTCCCCCTCGACTGCATACATTGCAACTTTGCCCTCAAGAGTTACATAATTATTGAACTTCAAATGCACAGCTGGGACAAAGCAGGCTCTATAGAAAGGAAAATCTAAAGTATGAGGTGCACCATTATTCAGGTAGAAGGAGGTATGGTGCTGGCATGATGAACACAGTGCAGAGCCTCCATGACACACAAGATCCTTATGTGATGTGGGATGGGGGTCTCTGTTGGCTGGCAAAGCCTCAGATCTCCAAGGTTATCAGGGTGTCATGATGTCACAGGTGGGCTCTTCTCTGGCAGACAATCATAGAACAAGGTATAGTCATCAAAGGACACCAGCTAAGCTCACAAAAGCGTATGTCAGACTCTTGGGTTAATACGTATTTTGCAATCCAGAAGTAGAGGTCAGTAACTAACATGTGAGTGGGGTCTGATACTGCTTGAGGTCACATTCCTGAGACACAGGAAGGTTCACAAGAGGTTCTCAAATAGGAGTCTGCTATGATGTAGGCCACACCCCTGAAGAAAGGGGAGTTCACTGCAAGTTGTTCATATGGGGGTCTGAACAAATGTCCCACTCTCAAAGGAAGGGGCAAACACACTCTGAAACATCATGTAGCAAACTATGTGTTTCGAATCATTTCATAGCTACAAAAGGGACCTGAAAACCATTTCTTTGAAATGTAGCCATTAGAAATGAAAGTGTATTATGTCTTTCAGTCTTTTGAATGACAGGAGAGGATCTTAATTTTCACAATTGCTGGTTAGCAGACACAGCTGGACTAACAGGCATTTATGCTGAGTACATTTCTGTGATGTTTACTTTCCCTGACTGCTTAAGGCACTGTTACCGTGATCTCAGCCCTCACTGTCACTTTAATATGCACAGTCATCTTGGTACAAATGAAAGTGGAGTTAGGTTAACACTGGACCTTTTCTCTAGTATGATAACTCATTATAATTGAAACTTTCCTTATTACTTTGTCCAGCTTTGTTTATCTTCAGCAGATTTAAGTAAGTGCCTTAGGGTTTCAAGATTACTAAGCTGCCAAGACACCACTTGCTTCCAGGAATCAAGGTCATGCTATATTCTTTTAGCAAGGTATATTGAACCTACTAAGCAAGTATAACAYGCCAGAAGGCAGTTCTGTAAGGCTCAATCATCATGGCATGGAAAGACCCTGAGAACTTCAAAATGTGTAATTTAAAAACAGATTTTTCCTACATCTTTTTATGGACACCAAGGAAGTATGTTGGGGGGGGGGTTGGGGGGGTGTTAGTTGTAGATGGACACAATATCTTTAGTTAGTTTATTTATTTTTATGTGGTGCTGAGGATCAAACCAAGTGCCTCATGTGTGCTAGGCAAGCTCTCTACTACTGAGCCACAACCACAGCCCCAGAAGTGTGTTCTTTAAAAAAAAATAAAATACCTGTTTTAAACCAAGAGATAGTAAAGATGTCAATTAATGCCTATGCTTATAAGGTCCTTCACCCAAATGGAAAATATAGATGTTATTTTTTATAATATGTTTTTATAGTTGTTTTGTACTTGCATTTATAAGTCGATTTTCTTCTCTGTCTTTGGAAGTTATTGACTGACTCTTGTCAGGTGTTAATTTCTATTTCCAATCGTGACTCCCTTTCTGAACTACCAATTTAGGAATAATTCTTTCTTTCCCCAATTGATAGTTAATATAACCTTTTTCATATGCTAATGAGACTGAGTGGAACCACAATAAATCCTCTAGCTGCACTTGATTTTAGTTGCTTCCTTTCAGTTAAACATCACTCATTTTGGAGGTCACAGTGCTGAGCAATATGGTATTACTCTCCCACTACCCTTGCTATAGGTAAACCTCTGACAAATATGATAAGGGTTGCTGAGAATTCCTTTATAGGACTAGAAGATCACTTTTGTCAAAAACGCTGTCTGACAGGCATGTTTGGACATCAAAAGGCCCAAAACTGCACCCTCTTCTCATGCTAACAACCATTTGAACATACAACCCATGAGGAGACATAAAGGTTGATTATGCATACTCAGAACACTGATTACGTCAACTCCAATCACATATTCCCATTTGCCAGACACCCTCTTCTTTATCCCATAAACATCTCCAAACCCTACTGTGGGGGTGGCAGGACTTCAGACTTGGGTCATCCCGTGCACCAGAGCCAAGTAAACAAGCTCCTTCTCGTTTGCCAAAGCTGTCTCAGTGACTGGCAATGAGAAATACAGGACTGATGCAGTAACAGAAACTTTTTTTAAAAAATTTTTAAAATGTTGTCAATGAACATATATTTTATTTGTTTATTTATATGCAGTACTGAGGACTGAATCCAGTGTCTCACACATGCTAGGCAAGCGCTCTTCCACTGAGCTACAACCCTAGTCGTGCAACTTCTTATTAATACTTGATGGTTCCTATACTGCATTTTCTGGAGCATTTAGCCCCATTGAACTGTCAACTCTTGTGTGGGGACCAGTTCTGAAAGCATAAACAAACCAGCCTGAAAATCGTGATCCAGAGCCCTCTCTCAGGCACTGCCTTTTTAATCAGCAGGTGCTCTCTTGTTCCAAGCTCTTGCACCACCAACCATTAGTGAGTGACGCTCCTACTCAATTGAACTCAACCCACGTCTTTAACCCATGTCCTCCTGCACTGGCTCACCACACCTAGAGAAGAAGGCAGCTGGCAGTGTGGAGAGACCACCCAACCACAGACCAAACCTACACTCAGGTGAGGGAGAACACACAAAGCCAGTTCATTAGCCAAGTGAAAAAGACAACCCAGAGGGTTACATTTCCTAGGCTTCGTCTGTGTATAAAGTTTCCAACAACAACCTGGAGAAAAGGGGAACAGATGCCTGATTGACAGGGGATAGACTGGGGTTTGGAGTAAGAGCAGAGAGTTTGGTTACACAACAGCAACAGAGGTCCTTCTGCTCCTGGAAATGCAGAGCTACCACCCATAAATAAGGACACAAAACAGGAGACTCGTGCATTCTTTTGTTGTCAATGTATGTGTGAGGGCTGGGGCTGAAGCTCGTTGGAGGAGCACTTGCCTACCATGTCTGAGGCACCACATGGAAATAAATAAATAAATAAAGGCCTGTTGTCCATACACAACTACAAAAAAAAAATATGTGTGATATCGTACTAGAGTTCGCAGACTGAGGGAAACTGGGGGACTTGTAAGATCTCTATTGTTCTCTTACAAGTGCTTGTGACTTTATAATTACCTCAATGAAAATTTCCACTGGAAAAAAGCAAGATTCCTTGACTTTTTGTTAAGCTACTGCCAGGAAAATCACCTTGAAATAACAACAAAATTAAAATTTAAAATTTGTGTAAAGCAGCCCCATGCAAAAGACTTTTTTGCAATGATGCAAGTACCCTCTATTACACTGTGCGATACAGTGGTCACTCACACGTGTGACTCTTGAGCACTTCAAATGTGGCAACTGAAACTAAAAACAGAATTTTTAATTGCCTTAACTGTGCTCAACTTAGAKTTAAATGGCCCTGTGGTTAGTGGAACAGGACAGAAATGAAACTTGATCTAGTCCCCTCTTCCCTAGTTGTAAGTAGCAAGGGATGAGGAAAATTCATTCGAACCACTGAACCAACTTATAAACTTTCTCAGCAGGAGTCCATTCCTTCATTTAAAATGGGGAAAGAAAGGTACATCCTGACATGTGATGTGTGTGTGTGTGTGTGTGTGTGTGTGTGTGTGTGTGTGTGAAGGGCTGTGATGTGCCCTGGCACTTGTACACTGCAGCTCTCAGTTGGTGTTCTTACAAATACATGATGAAGTAACTGTCGATTTAGTAAATATTTCCCTCCCTCCATTCTTGAAAAGGACCTGCGAGTAGCTCTGCTTTCATATACAAAGAGTGATATCAACAGAAATTTGATGTCCTGGAATTTTCTTCCAGTTCATCCTACACTTCCAGTTACAAAGATTTCGGGTGCAACATTAGAAATTAGAAAAAGAAAGAAAGAAAGATAAATCTACATAGAAGCCCCATTTCTTCAAGCACAACTGTGAATAATCAGATAGTTTGGGAAGAGGCGAAGTGAACTCTACAGGCAGGACGGCCGCTGGGGAGTCAGTACAGATCCAGTCACACAGCAAATGGGAAAGGGCTGTGGAACCCCTCAGCCTTCCACTGGCAGGTTTCGCAAAGTCTTGAATCTTCCCTTTCCCAGCGTTCTGCACACGGTGTGTAGGGGATTTCACTCCCCAAAACCCTTCAGGATAAAGTCCAAGCCCTTGGGTGGTTCAGAGAGGTGCCTGCGATCTGCCCCGCCTGCCTCTGCGCCCATTTCGACTCCTCCAGCCTGTCTGTTCCGCGCACCATAAACTGTTGTATTTCTTTAATCGTAAACTGCTCTGATACTTCCCTCAAGAAATGGCACAGCWGGTGACACCGTTCCTTGAGTACACACCACTAAAGACAAGCAGCGACTTTTGCAAACAAAATGTGTGGCTGAGAGCTTGGCTCTTTGCACGGACGCAAAGCCAGTCATGCGTCCTTGGCCCAAACTGGAGTTTTTGGAGTGTCTCACTGCGCCGCCACCTGCTGGGGTTGGCCTGCGCCTGCGCCTGCCTGCTGGGCCGGGGATGCCAGGTCCCCGACCTGTAGGTGTGCCTCACGCCATCTGATACTGGAAGAAGCTCTAAAGGGGCGCGCGTCTAGGTGCTGCCGCTGCCTCCACTYTCTACACAGGTGTCCCGCGCTGCCCACCCGGCCATGTCGTCCCCCCGCTGCGTGTCACTGGTCACCGGAGCCAACAAGGGCATCGGTTTTGCCATCGTGCGCGACCTCTGTCGCCAGTTCTCGGGGGACGTGGTGCTCACCGCGCGCGACGAGGAGCGGGGCCGGGCAGCGGTGCAGCAGCTGCAGGCAGAGGGCCTGAGCCCGCTCTTCCACCAGCTGGACATCGACCACCCGCAGAGCATCCGCGCACTGCGCGACTTCCTGCGCAAGGAGTACGGGGGTCTCGATGTGCTGGTCAACAACGCGGGCATTGCCCTCGAGTGTAAGCTGCGGGTGCGCACAGGGGAGTCCTGGCAGGCCGCACCTAGGTCCAGAAAAGTCTCCCTAGAAAGAAGCAACCTAATCTGGGAGCCCTAGGAAAAGCAGAGCCCCGCAGAGGCGGGGAAAGTGCAGGCCAAATGGACATTGCCTTTGCCTGGCTGGGACTCCTGGGGATCTTTTCCAGGTTTTCTTTACACAGTTTTTCTTTCCTTTTTTATTCTTTTCATATATACATGACCATAGAGTGTTTTTTGACATACATACTTGGAGTTAACTTATTCTAATTAGTATCCCAGTATTGTGGTTGTATATGATGTGGAGTTTCCCTGGTCATGTATTCATGTATTCATATACAAACCCAGGAAAGTTACATCTGATTCATTCTACTGTCTTTCTCATTCCCATCCTTCCTCCCTTCCCTTCATTCCCTTTGTCTAATCTAAGGAACTTTTCTCTCTCTCTCTCTCTCTCTCTCTCTTATACACACACACACACACACACACACACACACAAACACACACACTTACTGTGTGTTAGCAATCACATATCAGAGAGAACAGTTGGTCTTTGTTTGGGGGAATTGGCTTATTTCACTTAGCATATTTTCTCCAGTTCATCCATTTACCTACAAATGCCATAATTTCATTCTACTTTAAGCCTGAGTAATGTTCCACGGTGTATATGTACTATGGTTTCTTTATCTATTCATCTGTTGAAGAGCACCTAGGTTGGTTCCATAGCTTAACTTTTGTGAACTGAGCTGCTATAAACATTGATTTCGCTGCACCACTGTAGTATGCTGATTTTGAATCATTTAGGTATGTAGCCAGGAGTGGGACAACTGGGTCAAATGGGGGTTCCATTCCAAGCTTTCTGAGAAATCTCCATACTGCTTTCCAGAGTGGTTGTACCAGCAATGTATAAGTGTGCCTTTCCCCCCCCACATCCTCACCAACATTTATTGTTACATGTATACTTGATAATTGCCATTCTGAATAGAGATGGAATTTCAGTGTAATTGTAATTCACATTTCTCTAATTGCTAATGATGTTAATCAGTTTTTATATATTTGATGACAATTTCTATTGCTTCTTCTGTGAGGTGCCTATTCAGTTCCTTTGCCCATATATTAATTGGGTTATTTGGGGGGTATTGGGGGGGGTGTTAAGTTTTTTTAAGCTTTTTACATATCCTGGGTATGAATGCTCTATCTGAGGTGCAGGTGGCAAAGATTATCTCCCATTCTGTAGAACCTCTCTTCACATTCTTGATTGTTTCCTTTGATATTTACAGTTTTTCTAAGATGGGACATTAGGACACAGGATGGACTTTTAACTGGTTTTTAATATAGAAAATGCAAGAACAATGAATTACACCAAGATTCTGCATATGCATGCTTGTCTGTGCCTCTTTCATTATGTCATCTGATAAAAATGGAAGAACATCATTGAACAAGGAAATCTGACTTTTTAATACTTAATTTTTAGTTATAGATGGACACAATATCTTTATTTGATATTTATGTGGTACTGAGGATRGAACCCAGTGCCTCACGCATACTAGGCAAGTGCTCTTCCACTGAGCCACGCGCCAGCCCTGACTTTTGGACATGCTACACAAGACAGAAGACTTTACTTGGAAGGCACCAGATATCCCGTGCACTTATTCTAAGAAATTCTACCCCATGGCAACTGTTTATTGTGGTCTCTAATTTCTTTCTTAAAAGCGGATGATCCGACACACTTTCCTATTGGAGCAGAAGTCACACTGAAAACAAATTTTTTTGGTACCCGAGATGTCTGCACAGAGCTACTCCCCCTCATAAAACCACAAGGTGAGTGGGGTGGGTGATCTGGCCCTGCCCTCCTGCAGTCTCATCTCCTTGCCCCTGGCCTCTCCTGCTGCAGCTCTGCCCCTGCCTTGCTGGGCCTCCACCTGCCAGGTGCAGCTCTACTTCCCCCCCCCCCCGCCCCCTTCTCCAGTGGCTTGCTGCTGTGTGCACTGTTCTTCCACACCTGGCTCTTTGGTATCCTCAAGTGTCTGTTCAAAAGTCTCCTCAGAGCA